AAGGAGGCCAGAAAAGTGTGTCAGAGCCCTTGGAACTGGAGTTACAGCTGGTTGTGGGCTGCCACATGGGTGCTGGGCATCAAACCTAGGTCCTCTGGAGGATCAGCAGTGCTCTTAAATGCTAAGCTATCTTTCCAGCCTTGCATGTTTACTTTCTAGGTTCCATTTGCTTTACTATCTGCAGGGTTTGTCTCTTCAGAGAGACAGTTTTTGTTCGTTAATACTGACAATGTAACTTAAACCCTTGTGTAGGTAAAACATCCTTTTAACTCCCGCCTTTCCCCTTCCTGGTGACTGAATATGAACCTGCTTCTTAGTTAAGTCCTTGCTTCTTGGTTCCCTTCTCTTCCTATTGTTCCTCCTCCACTCTTGACATAAGCCTATGTCTTTAAATCAGGGTATTAGTTTACATTTAACATAGTATTAGTCAGGATTGACACTTGCCATTTTTATTTTCTGTCTACGTGTCTTGTAATATTTTCCTCTTCATTCCTTCCCTTCCTTGTATGAAGGAAAACATACTTTGTGGAACAGGCTTTTTCACTTCGCATGTTGATCTTCAGCCCCATCCATTTTCCTGCCAATATAATTTTATCTTTCTTGATGGCTGGATAAAATACCACGCTTTTGCTCATTCATCCGCTTATGGGTACTTGGGAATATCGTATACTTTGGTTACTATGCATAGGACTGCCTAGCAAAACTGTAACCCTAAAATGGTTCTTTTTTAAAAGGAAAAAAGAAAAGTACACAAATATCTCCATTGTCATTGTTTGTAGGATTATCTGGTCCTTTGCTATTATTTATATATGTATACACACACACACACACACACACACATACACACACACACATACACACACACACACACACACACACACACACACACACTTATATTCCTGTCCGTCGATTATTTGGCAAAGATTTTGTTCCATTCTACAGACTGTTGCTTGTAGTATGAATTCTAATAGGTCTTAATAATATAAACCCAGAGACAGATATTGCGGTTAAAGCTGAAGATCAGAGAAGCAAATCGGCCACCCACTAGAGAGTTCTCATCTCTACCAATGGTTAGACCAAAGGGATCCTGTCCTCAGACTGCATCTGTCTCCATCAAACCTCAAGCTCTTTCTGCCTAAACTGCATCCATAGACTATATTGTTCCTCCTGTCTCCTCCCACCTTATAGTCCTCTCTCCACCCAGCCATACCCCTTCCTGTCTCCACCGCCTTAGTTCTAGGATTAAAGGCATGTCACTCCAAGTGCTGGGATTACCTTTTCATGAGCTCTGTTTCTCTTTTAGACTGGATCAATTTTGTGTAGCCCAAGGCAGCCTTGAACCAACAGAAATCTGTCTGTCTCTGTCTCTCAAGTGCTGGGATAAAGGTGTGTACCACCACTGCCTGGTTTCTATGACTGACCAGTGTGGCTAGCTCTGCACTCTGATCTTCAGGCAAAGCTATGTTTGTTAGATCATAAACAAAGTATCACCACAGTTGCTGCATTGTGTTGATTGTTTCTTTTCCTGTACAGAAGTGTTTATCATCTTGTTACTGTTTCCTGAGCTATTGGAGTCCTATCTTTATAGATCTTAAATTGGTTCCCCCCTATACTGTCCTGTAGAAGTTATAGAGTTTTATGTCTTTTATGAGTGAATTTTTATGAGTTGAAAGATAAAGATAGAGTTTCTGATCTCTACACAGTACTGGAAAACAAAATTCAGGAATCAGATTGCTTTATGGGCTGTCTTATGCAGATGTTAAGTATCATAATGTACTAGAATTCTTACCTTTTAAAATACCCAAAGTTGAAGGAGAATTTCAGATTCTCAATTTATAAAAGGATTTAGATTTATATGCAATATAGCCTTTCCTCTATGTAGCCCTAAAAGTGATAAATATTAGACTAGGAGTATAAATCAGTGATAAAAGAGTGATTGACTAGTATATATGAAGTCCTGGGTTAAACCTTAGCACTGTAAAAGGAAGCATAAAGCCATAGAGAAGGAAGAGGAAACATGATTTGATGGGTGTATAATGAGACATTCCACAGGGAGAAAGCTTGAACTGTAATATTCAGTAAGGATTGAGTGACTTTGGTAAGTCTCATCACTTCTCTGAATGTCCATTTCCTTACCTGTACTGCTCATGTTGCAGTGTTGTTTAGAGCAATAAATGAACTGATAGATTGTGAAATTGGTTTGTGAGCTATAAAATGTTTTGTCCTTTTCTTCTAGTTTCTTAGTGCCCTCTGTTAATTATTCTACCCTAGTATTTCCCACATTGCATTGTAATTTATTTGTCTTTGTCTATCACCAGATTACCTTTTTTGTTTTAAAGAAGCAAGGTTGTTTTGTTTATCTGTCTTTCAATATCAGAGTTTAAGATGTAAATACTCAGCAGATACTTGATGGATATGTAAATAAGTGTTTCATGTGGGCCCAGGTGACTCAAGTTCAACTCTAGATTTTCTTCTTCTTATGCTATTAAAAGTCTAGAAATAATAAGGTTGCCATAGGATGAAATTTTCAGAATGCAAAAACATGAGGTTACAGAATAGTTATAGATTTGTTAAGCCTCACATTAACATTCTAGAGCATACTTCTTAAAGGAAAATTGTTGAGATGGTTTAATTAAGTTTATGTTCAAGAATGGAGGTTATGATTTGTCAAGTGAGAAGTAATTTTCTGGCTAAAGAATGATAACAGTTAAAATGAATCTCAAAAGTAGGAAATTTGGCAAAGGAATATTATGACTAGACAAATCCATTAGAGCAGCAAGGTATTAGAAGTGTTTTGAGGCATGTGGTTGAATCATGAACCACCAGGCTTCCTTATAAGGTAAAAACTATTTTAAAGCTATGAAGCAGGGGTTTTGTTATTGTTTGGAAGAAGTTGAAGCTGTATTTCCAGTAGAGTATAACCCTTTAAAGAGTAGAATCAATATACCTACTGAAAAGTGTGTTGCTAGAAAACATGTTAAATACAAGTGCGTGGGGAGGTGAAGTACAAATAGTAAAATGAAGGAACAAATAGTGGGAATTGGTTTGAAAATGACCAAATAACTTATAATTGAAGAAGAGAAAGCATTCAGTGCAGCTTTCCTGAGTAGGCATTGAAAAGACATAGAAAATAGAAAGGCATCCTTAGGATTGTAATTTTGTGATGGACCTTGACAGAACTTAAAGTAGAAGACTAGAATCAATGTTTAACAGGCCATGTATGATGGGGTGGCTGTTACTGTGTTCCCCCTTTCTGGAGATAGATGCAATTGCTGGGAGAGTTCGCACATGGCTACCTTGTTATAGAGATGTTTTCAAAGACTAGTCAAAGGTGGACTTTTATTTCATACAAAGTCCATAAAAAGAGCCTTTTATGAGCCTCGCCTGGTGGCATATGCCTTTAATCCCAGCACTCTTGCTTACTCATCTAATTTTTTGGATATGGTATTTTCCTCTTGTTATTATTATTATTTTGCTCTTCTGTTGTGCTGCTTTTTAAGACATTTTATCAGATCTCTCTCACACAACCATTTTATTGAGGTTTTAATTCCTCTTGTCATATTTTTAACTCCCAAGAGCACTTTTATTACCTTAAAAGTCCTTAAATTTTCCTCTTCTTGTTTTATGGTTGTAATATCTCTGCTAATTGCTCCAAGGATGCCTTATGATAGATCTTTAAAGTCATTCTCCTGAGTTTGAAGGCTTCTTCCAGAGACAGTAGACAGTCTTCTGCTGAGGTGGCGGAAGGGAAGCTATTGGGCTGTGACTGGTGGGGATGGGAATTTGTAAGCTTCTTTGCTTCTTAGGCTAATGTTCATAGATCTCTTTTTATGCATACTTACAGATGGACTTGGCCTCTGAACAGTCCTTAGTCTTTTTGGAACTCTCAATAGAAATCAGTTGCCTCTCAGCTTTCCCTGCTGTGAGGTCAGAAGGAAGCTTTCTCAGATGGATTGATTTAGTTACTATCTATCCAGTCACTATGTACAACTAGTTTGTTTCAAAGCTTTTTTTCCTATAACATCTAAACTTTTGCGATTGTGGCCTCTTATAATCCCTTTACTATAATTTTATCAGGGTTTTGGAGAATGAATCGGATCCAAATGCATGAGTTCAATATGCCGTCTTTAGTCAGAATCCTGTTAGCTAGGTCTTTATATCTTTTATGACAATCTCTTTTATGTTTTAACTACCACGTAATACATACTCCTTTCTATTGTCATTTTCCCATAGGTGGACCCCACCCCAGAGAAATTGCATTTCATTATAACAAATTGGAGTTTAAACCTCTTCAGTTCATTTTTATTTTTTATTTTTTTGAGCAGGGCAAACATAGATGAAGGAGAGGTGAGAAAGAACTCTTGAAAGTAGGAGTGTGTTTTGACTATGTCTTTAATTCTTCCTTGATTTTGATGGAATAAAGTCTGTTTTCCTTAATGTTCAGTGACTTTCATAAGCTAGTCTCTGTCCGCATCTTCCAAACTTTGTATTTTAGGTATTCTAAAACAATCATAGTCATTCCCATGTGGACACTTACTTTTATCAGTACACAGATTTATCTGGAACAAATAGAGACACAATATTGCTTGGTGATGTAGCTATTTCATTTATCCGTTATTCTGTTGATTTTGAGGGCATCATATGGCCTATTTCAGTCTAGGTTCCAAAAATCTGTTGTTCCATATATGTTGTTTCTTCATTGGGTTCATTATATTGTATATTGGTATATTGATCCACACCTTACTTAATTTATGGTAGATTTTGAAGATGTAAAGATGAGAGGATTTGTAAACCATATCCTATAACAAATTACTGTTACATGATATCATGTTTAATCTCAGCTCAAGACCAATTTGTGCACTGTGATGTAATATGTTTCTAGGGTTTAACATTGTAACTAGTTATTCTCACCAAAAGAAAGTGTTGACATTTGCATGAAATGTTTATGCCATTATCCTGGAAGTATATTGTGTGATGATATTCTCCACCCCCTTCCTCAGAATTGTCTTCACCGATATCTTTATTATTAATCTAATTCTTTGGATGGAAGGGTCATCAGTTGCTATATCCTTTGGCACATTGGCAAGTCTCTTTGCATTTTGCTTTGGAGTTTCAACACCACTAACATTTTTGGGAGTGTACTTTGGGAAAAAGGAACAGGTAAACTTTTAGAATACTGCTTTTGACTTTTGAGTGATGCCTGAAATATCTTACTGTGTATATGCTATATATAGAATACAATATACCAGTTATAAAAATAAGTAAGTAAATGACAGTGACGTTAAAAGATACTGTTTAATATACTCCCCACACCGTAGGTTATTTGCATTTCTTTATATCTCTAATGGACAAAATGAAAAGGGCATAGTATATTATAAAGGCCTACATCAGCTACCTCAGAAAGTAAATGTTTTTATAGTGGGAGAAGAGAGAAAAGATACAGTTGACAAATGGGATGTTCAGTTTCAGGTTTGAAGTTAGCCTAATTCTGTGTATAGGAGAAAAGGAACAGATGTCCCCAAAAGATTAAATGTGATGATTCTGCAAGAGGACTATATAAAAATAGTTTGAGATTGCAGGAGGAAAGTAAAACAAACAACAAAAAAAACCAATGACATGGGAAATGGAGTTCTACAGAAAGCAGGAAAAAGAAAAAAATAAACACTGTTGATAAATTAATTGATAAATTTATTAAAAATAAAATGTTTAGTAAATTTGGAGGGAACTTTTAAATATGTCTATTTCATATTAGAATAATCACAAGCAAATCTTGTCAAAAATCTCCTTTGGAAAGGTAAATACCCAGGTCTGAAGATCAGTTGATAGAGTGCTAGGCTACCATGCAGGAAGTCCTGGGTTCAATTCCTAACAAAAATGGGGTTTGGTGTCACCATGCCTTTGTGTAAATCACCACAGCTGACTTCAATTGATAACATTTTTATATCAAATAAAAAAAACTCTTAAAATTATTTTACCTGTTAATGTTTATACTTATAAAAAACTACTAAAAATTTAATGTAACTACTAAAAATATTAAAAACTATGTGTGTGGGTATGTATCATATTCCTATTTACATCATATTTTTATTGCATGGTGGTGATATAGTCCTAGTCCACATGACATTCATGTGTTGTTCAGATTCAGGATTCTGTACTGAATTGTCATTATGATCATTATGTCCATGGGTTTGTGTTGTTCACTCTTGTTCTTGTTTCATGTATTTTTAAACAGTTTGAGTTTCCAGTTTACAGACATGCGATCCCTCGTATGAGCTCTAGAAGGAGTTTCTTTGCAAAACCAACCATTACTGTTCTTCTTGGTAGTCTTTTACCATTTGGCTGTATTTTCGTGCAACTTTCTTACATTCTAAACCGTATTTGGTGAGTATCACATCTCAGTAAATTCAAGTCTAGTTTAATATACAATAATAGTGCTTATTTATACAGTAACAGTTCAGTAATAGTATAATAGTTCAGTACTTGCATGTAATGTTCCAAGATAAAATCAAGAATTATTAATAATGGGTACCAACATAAAATTAAATTAAGAATAAATTCTAATGTTCTGTATCACAGTAGAATGGCTTTAGTTTATAGTAATATACATATTTTATAAAGACTAGAAATTTTATGTTGGTAGGATTGAACATAGGACTTTATTCATGCCAGGTAAGATCACTGACACTAGCTGGGTGATGGTGGCACACACCTTTAATCTCAGCACGTGGGAGGCAGAGGCAGGTGGATCTCTGTGAGTTCGAGACCAGCCTGGTCTACAAGAGCTTGTTCCAGGACAGACTCCAAAGCTATACAGAGAAACTCTTTCTCGAAAAACAAAAAACAAAACAAAACAAAATGATTGTTGACACCGAGTTACATTTCTAAACCTCAGAGTTTTAGTTTTGTTTATTAACTTTCTATATTTCAAAGAGGTTAAATTCTTGTGTAATATTTCATCTTTACTCTATTCAGGAAATAGCAGTTTTACCTAGGGCAATTTCCTAGGGAACGGATTTAATTTGCAACTTTTAAACATGATTCTCATGGAATTCTCTATAAAGATTTACTTTAAAAAATTAACAATCAGGGGTGGGGACTGTAATGAGGCTCAGTAGTTAAGAGTACTTGCTGCTGTTCAAGAAGATCCAATTTAGTTCCCAGCACCCATGTCGGGTGACTCACAACTTCCTGTAACTCTAATTCCAGTAGATCTGACACACACTTCTGGCCTTTGTGGGTATGGGCAAACACACACACACACACACACACACACACACACACACACACACACACACACACAGAGAGAGAGAGAGAGAGAGAGAGAGAGACTCTCTCTCACACACACCATATACTTAAACAGATATCCACATAAATGAAAAGTTAATAAAGGCCACTGAGATTGCTCAGTGAGTGTGAGTGTTGCTGCCATGCTTGACCATCTCACACTGGCTCATGGAACTCTGTGGAAGGAATGAATTGACTCCCTCAAATAATCCTACGACATCCACACATGTGCAGTGGCATGCATGTACCCACACACATAGGCACACACAAGGTAGGTTAAAACTTTAAAACTCACCTCTTGGTAAGCTGTTTTACATGACTTAGAGAAGCTTGTCTCTAATTGAACCTTGTTGGAAACACAACGGTAAAGGGTACTTAAATATGGAAAGGAGAGATGTGATTTTTATGTTTTCATGTTAGCCTTCCAAAGGAATATTTATTTACAATTCCTCTGCTAAAATTAATGTGAAAGCTATTGGCTTTATCAGCTTTTGAGTTTTCATGTCCTTTTCTGTTTTCTTCCTGTCAGTTATTAGTTCTTGTGTCAGAATGCCTGGTTCTTATATACACTTTTGCTTGCTACTTTTAATCTTTTATGATTTAAGAATTATAATAATGTGATTGTTGTATGTATTTGCAAAATAAGTAATTGTGCTTTCTGTTTAAAAGCATAATAGCTAGAGCTAGGGATGTAGCTTAGTAGTAGAGTGCTTGCTTAGGATTCTCAAGGCCCTGGATTCTATACCCAACACTGCAAAGTAGGAAAGCCATCTCTGTGTGATGACAAATGCCTATAACCCCTGCCACTCCAGCAATTGGTGTGGCTGAGGCAGGGACAAGTCCAGCCTGGGTTACATATAGCAAGACCCGCCTCCAAAAATACATGTAATATCTTTAGTGTTATGATAGCACTTTCATTTATTCTGTATCTCCACCAACTTCTCCTCCTCCATCTCCTCCTTCTCCTCATTCTCCTCCTTCTCTTCCTTCTCCTTCTCCTTCTTCCTCTTCTTCTTCCAAGATAGGTTTCTTTGTGTAGTCTTAGCTGTCCTGGAACTAGTTCTGTACGAACTCACAGAGATCTGCCTGCCTCTGCCTTCTGAGTGCTGGGATGAAAGTTGTGCGCCACCACACTGACTTTGCCCCTTTCTGGTTCTTAGCTATCATATTTCTATGGAGAAGTTTGGAGATGGACAAAGGCAATAAGAAATAAAAAGCCAGTACTGGAATGACAGTAATTGCAGTGCTTGCTCTTCCAGACGTCCTGAATTTTGTTTCAAGCACCCACATCAGGCAGCTGATAGTTCCAGCTGTACTGGCTCTAACAGCCTCTTTTTGTCTGTGCATATGTACACACACACACACACACACACACACACACACACACACACACACACTATTGTTTTTAAGCATTAGCTTTAAAAAAAGAAGTAAAATGTAGTAGTTGTGTTGTTTTTTATAATTCTTTTTTACCATGGTAGTCTTTCTAACAAATCAATCCTGGAACTCTATCTGTATACAATGCTGGCCTTGAACTCAAGAGATCCTCCTGTCTCTGCCCCCCCACCACCAAGAGCTGTGATCAAAGCTGTGTGCTACAGCTCAAACACATCTTTTAAGTCCTCAAAACTTGGATTTAGTCATGTCCATTATGAGGACTTACTTTTAAATTAGTATTGTGGCAAATTGGTTTGAAAGGGAAAGAGTAAAATCTGAGGCTGTCAGATTGCTTATATAGTTAATAGAAGAATGCCTGCTTAACATTTCCAAGGCCCTAGGTTCAACTTCAGAAAAAAAATCTGTCAAAGAAGGTGTCAAAATGAGAATTATTTTGTGTGTTGAAAGAGGAGTGTATACAACATGTACATTTGTTAATTATAGAATATTTCTCCCTAACCCTGCTCCTTATCCTCACACTCAAACATATAGCACATATTATACTTAAAATGAGGTATTTAGTAATTTAATGTTTTTTTTAAATATTCTAAGCTTTAAAAATTAATCATAGTTAATTAACTTAATTGTACTAGGGACTGGAACTATGGATTTATGCGTTCAAAGCAGGAGCTCCATCACTGATTTTATCCATAGTCCTCTTTTTACTTTTTACTTTTGAGTCAGCCTCACTAAGTTACATAAACTGCTCTTGAATTTGCCATCCTCTTGTCTTAGCTTCCTTAGTGATTGAGATTCCAGGCATGTACCTTGATGCTTGGCTTCAGGGGCCTTTAAAAATGTAATCACTTCAGCTTTATAACAACAATGGGAGTCATTTATTTTCTTTAGTTTGCCCTAAATACAACCCATATACATATTTTTAAAAGATGCATGTTTGCACTGTGGGTGTTCCCTGCACGATCTTGACCAACATCCCCTACCCCCATTCCCGCTCATATTCTCTCCTCCTTCTCTTTGACTGGACTCCCATAGCTCTGTCCAGTGCTTGGTTGTGGATCTCTGCATCTGCTCCCATTAGTTACTGGGTGAAGATTCCATGATGACAATTAAGGTAGTTACCTGATGGGATATGTCATTCTATCAATATGTTTCTCGTATTGGTTAATGAATAAAGCACTGTTGGCCAATAGGAAAGCAAGTTAGGCAGGACTAGGAGACAAGGAGGAGAGAGGAAGTAGTAGGGAGGAGTTCCAAGATGGAGGACTACAGGGTGCCAGCCCCTCTCTCTGGTAAGATGAGACCATGTGGATATACTTAGATTAATAGAAATGAATTAATGTTTAAGACAGAGCTAGCCTATAAGAAACAAGTACCTGGCCAACAGAATTATATCAAATACAGAGTCTCTGTGTGTTATTTGGGGCTGGTACAGCGGTGGGACCAAGACCGGCAGGCTGCTGGGAAAAAAAAAAAGAAAACATACTAATAACAGTTACCAATCTGATTACAAGTGAAGGCAAGTTAAGCACCCTTTCCACTATGCAGGGGGGTAGAGCTTGGTTCTCCCTCAACTGAATGTGCCATGCTTTGTTGCCTCCCATAGGAGGCCTTCCCCTTTCTGAGGAGTGGATGTGGGTGGGTGCAGGTAGAAAGGAAGTGGGGGGGAAGCTGTTTAGTGTGTAAAATAAATTTAAAATTTAATAAAAAGATGCATGTTTGAAAGATTATTTAATAGAATGAAGACATAGTTGGAGATGCATCTTTAGAGCTTCAAAAGCAAAGACATATTTGAGTTTTATTTTCTGCTATATAATGTATTTAGTGGTATTTATGGCATTTACAAATCTTTCACTTCTAAAATGACAGCTTAAATGTGTATAGAGATAATGATGAGTCCCAAGTGAGAACTTAGTTATGAAAACAGATAAACATGGCTAATAAGTGGCTATACTTGTATCTCGAGAAGATGGGGCTCAAATATAAAACTATGTTAGCGAGAGATTACTTTCAGTGCTATGTGGATGGATGGAGGTTTGGAATAAAGAGTTTAAAGGCTGGGCAGCCATGGTGGTGTATACATTTAACCTCAGTGCTTGGGAGGCAGATCTCTGTGAGCCTAGCCCACATAGTAAGTTCCAGCAGCCAGAGTTATGTAGAGAGACTATATTTCAAAGAGAGGGAAGAGGAAGGGAGGAAGAGAGAGAGAAGAAAAATCACAGAATTGTGTTAATTGTCTTTTGTATAGATTTGGAATCATCTTTTTCTATGTAATGTTAAAAATAGAAAACTTGTGTTTGTTTTTAGGTCTCCACATATGTACTACCTGCTTGCCTTCCTTTTACTAGTCTTTTTAATTCTTATGATCTCCTGTTCAGAGGTTACCGTTCTGCTCTGCTATTTTCGGCTCTATGCGGAGGTAAAGACATAGATATTATATTAATGGGGCTTAAGTATTCTAAAACTTACATTATTGGAATTAGAGTGTGTTTCCAAAAGGGTATTGAAATAATTAGTAACTTCATGGTTTTTGCTACTTGGAATAAGTTTTATATTATGCTTTCCTAATGATATATTTTGACTTCGATGTAGCTACTGAGTGTTACTTTTGATGCAAGATTTAAAAAGGAAGCAATTTCTCTGAGTGGTTACTATAATTTCTGCTTGTTATTCAGTTAATTTTGAAAAATATGGCAGTGGGGAGCTGGTTTGAGCTTAAAAATATGGTAGTAGGTGACTAATTTGAGCTTAGACATGTAAAAGACCTAGTATAGTGATTTTAGAAATATACTTAAAGTTTTCTTTGCAGCATCAGCCAACATTGTATTTTGCGGGATTGAGGTCCCTGCTGCAGATCCTTTTGTGTTCTAATATCTTACTATAAATAGTTCTTTTATTTCTATCCTTATTTTTTTCTCCTTGATATCACTTGAATGACTGGTAGTGTAGTAAAATGTTGTTTGTTTTCTGTCTCTTTTTTAAAAACTTATTTATCCTATTTATTTGTTTGTGTGTGTGCACACATGTGCATGTATGTACATCCTTTTAATTGCTAAGTCATCTCTATAGTCTCACATTGTTTCAGGGTTAGTACTAGGGTTAGGATAAATGCCATAAGTCATCATCTTATTGGAATTAAATATCATTGTCTGAAGGTAACAACAAAGAGTTAACAGAATCATTATAATACTTGTTGCTTTGCAACATTTTGAGCTATAAGTATAAATTCTTGAGCTATAAGTATAGATATATAATTAAATATGTATTATACTTAGCTACTGATAAATTCTCTGGTGCTTTTTATCGTAAAGAGACTGTGTAACAATCATTAATGAGCCCAAAGAAACAAACATATCATGGGTATGTTTTTATTTCTTAGAAAATCTTTGAGGCATCTTAAATATCAAATATTAATCAGAAGAACTCATGGTACCAAGCATCAATATACATGTATGTGACTAGAGTTTATGTCAGAATAAAGACACACAACACAGTGAGCAATGGAAAAGGCACAGTTCATGGGGCATGGCAAGAAGAGGGTGCATATTGACCCTGGTTATGTCCACCTTGGGTCCTGAATTCAGCCAGTGAAAGACAATCCTATTAGCTATAAGGTCCATCTTAAATTTTTATAGTACTTTTTCTTGTACCTGACCTAAGGAATCACTAGGCTTAGTATATAGCATTTTTTTTTTAAAAATGAGTTTCATTATGGACTTTTCTTATATCTTTAAATTTTTTTTAGATATAATTACAACATTTCTTATTCCCCTTCCCTCCATGAATAACCTCCCATTTACCCCTCCTTGATTCTTTCAAATTTCTAGCCTCTTTCTACAATTGTTTTTGCATGCATGTATGTATATATATATATGCATATAGATCCTTAAATGTTACCTTCTCAGTTTGTGTAATGTTATTTGTATATATGTTTTCAGAGCTATTTGGTATACAATAACCAATTGGTACACTCTTCCTGGGGAAGACCATTTCGCCCATTCTTAGCATCTTTTAGTTGTCTTTGTGTGGGGTTCATTCTTTAGTTGTCTTTGTGTAGGGTTGATGCCTCATGGGATCCTCTCCCCCATCCGCTTTTGTGTCTATGAAACTTCTCTTTGCAACAGATGGAGAACACTACAGCAAATTACACCAATAAAAACGCAGAGTTGTGGAGCCCAGTCCTAATAGATACATCTATAGAACACTGGGGAAGAGGCAGACAGTAAAATTGTAAGAGCCAAAGGAAAAGGGACTTTGCTGTGAGATTGTGTCTTCAAGGCATGTCAGAAGCTACACCCATAAAACCTCACCAATATAACTGCCCCAAATTCTCTCTTCCTAGTTAGATATATTAGGTACTAGACATAAGCTTTCCAGCTTAGGACAACTCTATTGTAAACTCTGTTATGCCTTTACCCAAGGACTAGTTATGTAGGTCTTAAGTTTGTATGTTCTCGATTTTCCTTCTTAGAGCACACTTGTTATTCGCTGTTTTGTATATAGTTTTGTATCAAGCCTAAATCTTTTCTTTAGACTAACGGGACTTGTAGTGAGATATTCACTTTGTCCGCATCTGTGGCAATGGCCACGCCCATTGTGAATGGAGACAGGGGGCAGACATGACCAGGGGGAACTAGGTCTTGGGAAGGGGCCCTGGAGTGCTCTCTTGCTTGCTGGACAGCAACAGAGAGCATGCGGAGACATCCTTGGGACTGGAACCTGCTGGTGTTCATCTGTCTCTGTTGTAAGTTATTTCTCCCTGAATAACATCTATTCGGCCTATCTGTTTTTTGCTGATCCTTATTAATCCACGATACCCAATCATGAACTTTTCCTATATGATGTATTTGGTCGTATTTATGTTGTAAGTCTTTCTTCTGTGTGCCCCATTCCTACTGATCCTATCCTTCCCAACTGCTTCCCCTTTCACTGTCATATCTTTTCTTTTTGGTAACCCATGGAGTTTAGTTAGGGTTCCTTAGAGGTACATGGCTGAGGGGTTATTTATAAGAGCATGGGTGATGTACTAGTGGCTATACCCCTGAAGAAATTACCTTTCCATTTTCTAGCAATAATTAGCTTCATTTATATAGTTGGTGGAGGAGGGACCTTGTGATCCCTTCTTTTCCCTGACAGAGTGTTAATAGTCCAAGACTTGTACATGGCTGGTGCTGAAAATCACACATTCTGAGAGTTCAAGACTGCAGTGACCATGGCACGCACAGTAGAAAGCATTCTACAATACTCTGCTCCTTCCTCCTGCTGTTAGTTTTTGTTCTGTTCCCTATTCCCAAGTCCCCTGAGACTTAGAGTTGGTCATATGAGTGTCACATTAGGGCTAAACAATATGGATTATTGCCACTATTATTGGTTGCTCATTAATCATAGATAGTCATTTGGTCATAGGACATAGATAAAGTGAAACTGACCTAGAACATCCCTCCCTGATTTCTGGTTCTTACAGCAGTAAAGAGGATAAAGAGACTGCCAAAGGAGATTTGTCATCAGCAGTTATACTTAAATATGGACCCTTCATGTTATAATACCAAATAGCCAGGCAGGGCATATGCCCATTGGTGCAATAGTGGCAAGTTACTAGGGTAACCAATGAACTTTATTGGATTTGAGATATTCTGGACAGGGCAAAATTCATGCCTGGTATAATAAATTTAGTTAATATCCAATTTGGTTAGGTTATTGGCCCTTGTGGGGAAGCCATTGCCATTGTTTTCCTTAGTAAGCAAGATGTGCCTGACATATTTCCTCCTGAATATTTTTGTTACAATTGATTGGTCCTACTGTCAGCTTTGGTCGGAGAGACTTACCATAACTCCAGCCACTATATTTTACTACTTTTAATTAGTAATACAGTCACAGAGTCCATCTTGTGTTATAAAAATAATTGCTGCCAGGCTGTGGTGGTGCATGCATTTAATCCCAGCACTTGGGAGGCAGAGGTAGGTGGATCTCTGTGAGTTGAGGCCAGCCTGGTCTCCAAAAAATAAAGAAAAAATAATTGGTAGTCCATTTATAGTTAAGATTTCACCTACATAGTATCTTTTACTATTTTCACAGGATTGTGGTTGGTGGTGGAGAGCATTTATGACAAGCAGTTTTACATCTTTTTATGTTCTTATATATGCAATTCATTACTTCTTTACCAAACTTCACGTCACTAGCATCGGAAGTGTCTTCATGTACTTCGGGTACACATTGATCCTAGTTCTTGTTTTCTTTCTTTTCACAGGTAAGTGACAACAGAATTATGTGGGATATTTTAGATTCTCTGAAGAGTCAGACATTCATAATGTAGTAAACATCAATTAGCTATTAGAGGAAGAACTAGGGAACAAAGTCACCATGTTTATTCATATGTTTTTGGCATCACAGACTGTGAAGCCTGGGGAGCTGGATGTAACTTACATACTTCATCCTAAGATTTTTTTTCTTGTGGAAATTTTAATCAACAGGGATGTGTTCCAAACCACAGAATGAGTTCAATGTAATCAACTTTGAATTGGCTTCAAGTATAAACATTAACAGATTTAAGTATCTTTTGAATTATTAAAATGAGATTAATTAATTGATCATATAAGCAATCTTATGTCAAGGACAAGATGCTTATATTGTAAGGGTTAGTAAGTTGATGGTTATTATTTTGGTTCAAATGTGGTGGAAACATTTTTCATGCTTAGTGCTTCAATGAAATGTTTTATAAAATGGCCTAGTTGAAGATTTACTGAAGTTGCAAAAGTATTAGACCTTCTGAATACAAAAGAATGTTTTAGCTTGTCTCACAAAGCTTGGGTTGTAGTAGCTTATATCATATCATTTGTATGTACAAGACAGATGAAAAAAGTTAAGGATTTTCTCAGAATTAGCATTCAGGTTCAACAAATACATAGAATGAACCCTGGGAGCTGGGGAAGTGGCTCAGTGTCTAAAGTGCTTGCTGTAGAAGCATCAAGACTGGAGTACAGATGTTAGTCCATCATCATCACAGCAGGGAGAGTGCTGAGATGTGTGGTGTGGGAGCATCCGAGTCTTTATACCCTGGTTCACCAGCAACAGGCTGAGAGAAAGACAGAGCTCGAGACAGAGACACACAGAGAGACAGAGACACTGGTCCTGGCATGGGCTTTAAAAACTTCAAAGCCCACTTCCTGGTGACACACTCCAACAAGGATAGACCTCCTAATCTTTCTAGTTCTTTCAAAGACTTCCACTTCCTGTTAGTATTCATATATATGAGCCTCTGGGACCATTCTTGTTAACTCTATCACAACTCACATGCTTGTGTGTTCTGCACATTTAGGTACACACACACACACACACACACACACACACACACACACAATCCTTCTGAAAAAGGCAAACATTATTTGATAAACTAGGTACCTTTATACATCTTTTAAAAACATACGAAAAAATTGAATTATTTTTGTTATACTGCTAGAATCATGTCCCCAGTAAAGACACTTTTTTCTTTCCTCCAAGCTGTGCATCTTAATCTTTTTCTCCCTTTCACTGCTGGACTTTAGGCTGGTTAGATCTTGTATAGGCCTTATTCAGGTAAGCACAGCTATTATGATATCATGATTATGATAAGTATGTCATACACAGAAGATGTGACTTCACAACACTCCTCCCCGACTCCCTTGTCCTCTAAAGAACTGAAATAACCTTAAGAAGAGGACATTTTATGCCTGTTCAAGAGTATCATTCCTGAATTTCATAGAGCATGGAAGATAGGAGATTCTATCATGTTACCATATTTCTATATCCATTTTAATATTAAATCACAGGTATGAGAACTGTCTTAAGTTAATTGTGGTTACCAATCAGAGCATGGAAAAAGTTATAATATCATAAAACATGCTTCTGGAATCTCTTTTCCAGGACTGTTCTTTTTGGAGCTCTGCCTGCCTGCATTATCTTAAATGGCATGCACACATTTGAATCTATATATTTTGATTGTGTTGTTTTCTTTGCCTCAACTCCACAAAGATCCCTCCCCACACCCAGTTGCCCAACTTTATGTTCTTTTCTCTTAAAAGAAATGAACCAATCCAAAACACACACACACACACACACACACACACACACACACACACACGCACACACACACGCACACGGCGCTCGTGCACGAAGAGAGAGCAAAGAACATGGATTCCAGTTTTTGTTGGCTTACTACTTCTTTAGCACGTGGCTTGTCCTGGAGTGTGGTTGATATATTCAGTGTCTCTCCATTGAAGAAAACTGATTTTACTATCCTAGTAGCTATAAAGTGAAAATAGCTTCTTGGTTGTGGGTAAGAGCTTGTGTCTATATTCGTTTCTTCATGTTAGGATTTTGTCTGGCTTGAACTTGTGCAGTTCTTGGATATGCATCAGCCCTATTGTTTCTAGAAAATTAGGTTTCCTTAGAGTTATCCACTACCTCTGGCTTTTACAGTCTTTCTGCCTCTTTTTTTGCATTGCATAGATCCATGAGCCTTGAGAAGAAGGATGTGATAAAGGCATCCTATTTATGGTAGGGTAATATAAAGTTTTTCACTCTGTGCATTGTCCAGTTCTGGACTTCTGCCTCAATCACACTTTTTGCCTCTTTGGACACTGCATGCATATTGTATGCAGTCATACATGCATGTAAAACACCCATACACAAAAAATTAAAAATGAAGGTAGAATATTTCCATTTTCTGCATTGTTCTAGGATAGAGGCTGCGTTCTTAAGAGTATGGAAAATATTTAGATCATGTTATTTCTATCAATGTAAATAGTTACATCCCTATTCTAATTCTGGAACACATACTGGCCAGTATTCTGGTTTTGACTATGATACTGAAAAGATTGAACTTAAGGAAACATTCTGCTATTGGCAAAGTGGGAATTTGTGCTGGCATTTTTAGACTGTTGTGTAGTTCGCACTCTGAAACTCACATCAATGATGGTTTATGACCACTACCACCTCTAGTTTTTCCTGTCTACCTGCTATGAGTTCTTTGCTGTCTTTCTGTACAAAGTGGTTTCTGGTCATTTTAGCACATTTTGATAACTCCATCTCAGAGCAGTCAAGGAAAGAACTAGTCTTACATTCCATCTCTGCTGCTTATTGACTGTGTATTCTAAGGCAAGTTGCTTTACCTGTCTGAGCATTTCCAGGACTAGAGAAAGTTGGTAGCAGGAAATTAGGGCTCCCCAAATCCTCTTTCTAAACAGGATTTTTCTATACCTCATTGTGAAATCGCTACAGTTTCTATTCCCCCCACCCCCTACATGTCTTAATTCCATGTTTCAAGTTCTGTAATTAAAATGTCTTGGATATTAATCTCTTCATTTACTGGAGAAAGACTCCTTAAAGGTTTGTTTATATGGAATATTGAATGGTAGACTTTCCAACTGTGTTATTTAGCTAGCTTCTCAGAACTCCTTTGTAAAATATACAATTGTGACAATACTGGGAAATTTCTACCATATTTCATAATCCTTATTTATGTTTGTTTTGTTTTCAGAATCAGGGTCTCACTATGTACCCAGTTTGGCATAGAACTTGCTAATTAGCCCAAGGTGACCTTGATTTCTCAGTCTTCTTCCCTCTGAACTTGGAGTTAACCAATTGGCCATACTAGTTGGCTGATGGACTCCCAGGGTCCACATGTTTCTGCCTCAGTGATGGGATTATAGGCATGCAACCTAGCACTCAGAGTTTATGGGGGTGTTGGGGAACTGAACTCAATTCTTCATTTTTGTGTGGCATACACTTTATTGTCTGTGCCGTCTTCATAGCCTGGTTACTAACCTTTTCTAAACCCTGAAGCAAATTACAAGAGTTTCTATCAGAAAGTAGCCTTGAGCCTCTTTGAAATGGAGGACATAAGCTGATCATTTTTGTTTTATTCTTGGTTCTGGCTATAGACTTACAGAATTTAATCAGAAGGGTTCTCTCACCTGTTTATAGGTGATGCTTCTGACCTTGCTGCTCATCCTGATTGCTTAGCAAGAGAGCCTTGTGATTTATCATGTTGTTTTGGTACAGGGTTTCACTATGTAGTGTATGATGGCCTTGGATTACTTTGATTTTCCTTCTTCAGCATTCCAGATTCTGGGAATACCGGTGGGTGTCACTATGACAGCTAAACCTGATGACTTTTATTTAAGCATGTATAAGTCTTGAGATTTAAAGGTTCAGTAGTATGCCTTGAAGCAGCCATGTTTGTGTTTTTAACAAAACTTCTTTGACTTACTATGATACCAGGCTAACAAAGATCTTTTACCTTTTCTTTCAGGAACTATTGGATTTTTTTCCTGCTTCTCCTTCATTACTACTATTTACAATGTGATGAAGGTGGATTAATGAATTTTCACAGATGTTTCAAAGCATATAATACTTGCTTTCGAATACCTTTGTATCTATGCAAATATCTGTTGAGAAACATCTATGTGTATGTTCTAAATTACATACAGTTAAAGTGTTCATGAATGCAAAATCTCACTGTCTGGCCTCAGTTTCTTTGACACAAAATACTCATTAGTGGAAGAAAACTAGATTGGTAAAAAGATTGATTTTCAGTCATAGTTTCTTGAAAGGATAAAAAGATTTCATGCATTTCAAACAATGAAAAGCAGAGGAGGACATTTTCAAAAATTCACATGCATTGACTTTTTTCACGTGAACTTTGTTTTCCCCAATTTTGTTTCCTGATGCTGTTTAGAGTGCCTAGTCTCTGTCAGAACAATAGTTTCATTGGCACTATCCAACAGCTTTTAGGTAAAATGTTTTTGTAACTGAAGTTGACGATACAAGCCATATTATACTTTTATATCTGCATGGTTGTTTTAAAAATGTGTGTGTGTTTATTTGGGTTACTATTGCTATGATGAACACCATAATGAAAAGCAAGTAGGGGAGAAAAGGATTTATTTAGCTTCCACTTCCTCATCACAGTTCCTTATCAAAAGAAGTCAGGACAGGAACTCGAGCAGGGCAGAAACCTGGAGGCAGGATCTGATGCAGAGGCCATGGAAGGAGGTGCTCCTTACTGGCTTGCTTCTCATGGCTTGCTCAGCCTACTTTCTTAGAGAACCCAGGACCACCATGCCAGGGATGGCACTATCCACAATGGACTGGGCCCCCCCACCTCCATCAATCACTAATTAAGAAAATGCCCGGCAGGCTTCCTCCTCTCTGATCACTCTAGCTTGTGTCAAATTGATATAAAACTAGCCAGTACAGTAGTTAAAATACAAAGTTTATAAAAATGAGATATTACTGTCTTATTGCCCAGTCAATCTTATACATTTCCAGTTATTTGTAGTCTGTATCCTATCGCGGTAAATAAGGATCAGGATAAACAAATAGGCCGAATAGATGTTTATTCAGGGAGAAATAACTTACAACCTAGACAGATGAACACCAGGAAATTCAACCCGATCCTCTCCTGTCCGAGTCACGCCAGAAAGAGAGCGCCTTCCTGGCCCCCTCTGACCTCCTTCCACAGGTCACTTCCGCCCATGGCTCCACCCCCCAATGGGCGTGGTCAGTGCTACAGAAGGACTATCTCACTCCCCTTTTAGTCTAAAGAAAAGATTTAGGCTTAATACAAAACTATATACAAAACAGTGAGTAACAAGTGTGCTCCAAGAAAAGGAAAATCGAGAACAAAATGACCTACATATCTAGTCCTAGGGTGAGGGCATAATGGAGTTTACAGTAGAGTTGTCCTAAGCTGGAAAACATAAGTCTAGTACCTAATATATCTAACTAGGAAGAGAGAATAATAGTTGTGATAGTTTAATCTTCAACCTCATCAAGACCTGAGAAGGAAATTAACCATACTAGAGTAGACAGGAAATGCGGATGGACAACTTCCAAAAGGTGCAGCAAGGACAGAAACAGCAAGCCACCTGAACAGTCACCCTAGGTCTCACAGCGACGTTGGTACACCCAGATTTGGCCAAGAGAACTTGACAGACCACAACAACAGCAGGGAAATAGAATGGCTGTCTTACCCTGACTTGGCAAGGTCAAGCAGTCTTCTATATTTGTCTCCTGCAAGCACATAGGACTGCATGTCCAAATCAGTGGTCAAGGTGGGGGCAATTCTATGCCCAACAGGCCATTAGCTGAGGCGAGATTGAACTCCAGCAGGAGCAACAACAGTGTCCAACATATTTTCGGGAAAGTGCACGGTGTTGTCAGGAGCAACAGTGTCTCATGTCAATGGAGTACTAATATTAAAACATTTAAATGCCATGTTCTGCATGTCTATGAAGTGATTGAAGATTAAGCATCTATATCTGACTAATCTCATAGGTACAGGAAATGTGAGTGAAGATAATCTGTAATACTCGGGAACTTAGCTAAAAAGACTGATTAAAACTTTTCTGAGTAAAGCAGGAACAAATACTTAAACAATATAACTATTTACATATACCTACATGTAAATCCCTAAAATAGAGGTAGAGTATAAGTGTCAAGACAAGAGGTAGAACTATAAAGGGCAGCAAGATAAATATCCCAAATTGTATCAATATACAAAATGTCTTGAACACAAGAAAAGTATACATACATAGAATATGGTAAAAAATAATGTGCATAAAACATTGTAAGTGGAAATATTTAACACAATATAACAAAATATAAACTTAATTTTACATAGCTTACCACATAAGAATACACACCAGTGTAAGCTGTAAAATACTATCTCATTCTTACTCAAATTCTCAAGAAAATAGGCTAATCTACCTATATCCCATCTAAACCATACCTTTCCCAACCATTCCCTATTCCTGTCTAAAAGATAAACCCGAGTGTAAGCATCACCCAATCCCAAATAACTAAAACCAACCCAAAGACGATGACTATTATCCCAAAATTGCAAGGGTAGGGAAAGGGGGCGTAGTCATATTAAGATTATTTCCTGCTGAAATGGGACGATGATTGCTCCAATGGATCCTGTAGGAAGAAAATTTTTAGCAACCAAATTTCTCAACAGAACTGGCTGTCACATATGTAGTTAGTCACTGTGTGGCAGAAAATTCTTGACTGTAGTTCTATTTGAAACTCTGGCCAGGGTGTAATAAAAAGGTGCACCATTACAGCTAGCTAGTCATGAGTTGTCTCGAGCAAAACAGTCTCAAACCGGTTTTAGGGTGATGTTTGTAGTTCCGATGCATCAGGTTGAGTCAAGTGGAAACGATGATGTGGGGCCCCATCTTCATTATTATTTATACCTTTAGGGTTACTGCCTGGTGGTAAAGGAGTTTGGTTATAGAATGAGCAAGTAGGACATTTCCTTACTATTTCCTTGGCTTGTTCCCAAGTGATAGAAAAATCCTTTTTTAAACCTTTGTTGTTCACGTGGTGTTTCTTATGAAACTCTGAGGCTTCTAGCACAATTCCTATCAATAAACGATCAATTTCATCATTTACCTTAGAAACATATTTTGCTAATCTATTTCTGTTTACTGTCCTTTGGGAGCTGATTTTAACTTAGTTTTATATAGATAACAAACTTTGGAGTCCAGGTTTTTAAAAATGCCTTTATAAGTTTCTGTTCATGTGGGATGTGGGTGTATGAGAGTCATGGAGCATGTGTGGAGGGTAGAGGACAACCATGGCAGTCAATGAACTTCTTCTAACATATGGGTTCCAGGGATTGAACTTAGGTCATCAGGGATTTTGTCAGGTGTCCTTATCCACTTAGCCATCTCATCAGCCTCTGTTATCCAGGCTTATTAGTAGTACTACTACTATTATTATATCTTAGTTATTTTGGACACTTGTATTTCAACTATTTCTCAATTTTGTTTGTAGTTTTTGGGGGGAGCAGTCATGAAAATCATCTATTTCATGTGGTAAATTTTATTGATAAATGTCTAAATTGGGAAAATATTTGAAAAATATTCACACGTACTCATTCATCAATTTATGAACCTTCCCAAGCTCTTCTAAATTTGAACAGTTGTTCTTGTGTGCCTGGCTCAAGGGCTCCAGGAGGTCTTATTACCTTTCGCGGGAGTGGGGCTCCACTGGAATGAGGAAGGAATACACGAGAGAGTCTCATTCCGAGAGAATGAGAGGGCAATTAGGAGATGATTGGCTAACCCTTGGAAGAAAATATGTCACTAGCTGGGTAGCATAGCCTGTCTTTATCTAAGTTAGAAGGGTCTACATTGTGGCTGATGGCAAATGAGCCTGGGTCTATTGTAGGATTGTTGGAGGAGTGGGTACAGAAGGCCACAACAAGTCTCCTGACTGGAGTATTCAGATTCTTCATAATCTAGGTGTAGGCCCTTATGAATGTCTAAGAGGAAACTGCTTTCTGTTTTGTTTGGTTTTTCGAGAAAGGGTTTTTCTGCGTAGCTGTGGAGCTTATCCTGACACACTGTAGCCCAGGCTGGCCTTGAACTCACAAAGATCTGCCTGCCTCTGCCTCCCAAGTGCTGGGATTAAAGGTGTGTACACCACTACCACCTGGAGTCGAGGAGAGTGCTTTTTATGAAGCTCATTGGAACTTACTTCATTATCCAAATAGTCTACACTAAGTGGTGCTATATTGAGCTTCAGGGAACATTTTACCACCAGATTAACTGCCTGATAGGTTTATATAGGTTTCCATTTTTCATTGAAGATAGTTTTCTAGAAAGGAAAATTTATTCCTTAAGCATAAAAGTGTTGTTATCTGAGTGGTGTTCATAGATTAAGATAAAGGCAGGCCTCACGACAACCATCTTTGAACATCTTGAAAGTGCGTAAGTCATTATTAGCTTGGTTTTGTAGTTAAGTGGAGAAGAGCTCTTTAATTTGATTTAAAATGGGGCTGAATAGCGTCCTGAGCTTCCTTGTAGGGGTTCATGAGTATAACTTCAGCAGTGTGAGCTGAATTCCTTAAACCACTACTAATGAGAGTACCAGGAGAGAAGCTACTACGAAGTAGGCCAACTACTTTGTCTCAAGAGAAACGATAGGGTCTTAAATTTTAGACACATTAACCAACCTTATCTGTGTACTCTTTTCATATGTGATGGCTGCATCAGAGTTATTACTGCTTTATGAGGCTTCGGATTGGAGGGGCATGCTTTTGCTCTCCTGTCCTGTAACAGACCCTGGTGAGTTGGGGCTGAACCGAGTGTGGGTAATTAGGTCAGGTTAGCCTGAAAGGTGCTGAAGGACATTCTCTGAGCTGAAATAAGAAAGCAAGGGCTTGAGCCCGGTGGAGATGACTAGGGTACTGGGTAATTTGGTTTATTTATTCATAACATATTATATATTTGTAGCATTTATTTATTAATGTGTCTTTTACATCATGACCCCATCCCTTCACATCTGCCCTCTGCTGCTACACACCTCCAAATAAAACAGAATTCGAAAGGGAA